TGTTTTGGGCCATGAATGAGAGTTCACAGGAGGACTTCTCAACCCTGGCTGTATCTTAGAATCACTTGAGGAGCTTAAAAATACCAAAGTCTGGGTTTCATCCAATCAGAACCTCTGGGAGCAGAACCTGAACGGTGATATGCAGCCAGCGTAGAGAATTGCTGGCTAAGAAGAAAAGAAATTCTCTTCTAGTGCTGTTAATATGTCATCCTGCTGAACCAGACATAGTTTCTTTGAGATCCTCATTGGGCAGATTCCAGATAGCAATGAGAGAGGAAGCTGAAATGTGGACAAGGGCTTGCCTTCCAAGGGTGGGAAAAAAATTAAGGGCTAGAGGTATCAGCACTCACCACATCTAGGATGGCAGACATAGTGAAGGAGATGTTGACTAGGGTGGGGATGCTGAAGTTGGTGACTGGACGGAAGGCCTTCCTGTCGAACACTGACTCCAGAACAGTGGGATACACGCCATACTGGGCAGACCCTGAGCAGTTGTTGATAAAGGTACTGCTCCGTCCTGTAGAGGACATAGAATGTGTGAGGAGAGGGAGAGAAGTCTCATGTTGCCTATATGAGAGGGCCCTATGACAGGAACTTGGGGGTAGCCTGAGATAATAATGATAGCTAACATTTATTGAGCATTGACTATGTCCCAGGCATAGTCTAAACCCTTTAAACAAATTACCTCATTTTACCCTCTCAGGGTAAAATTTCTACCCTATCAGGTAGAAATTATTTTTATCCTTATGTAATAAATGAGTCAACTAGGTTTCAGTGAGAGGAATTACATTCCTGACATCAAATATTTAGGGGCAGAAACTGGACTTGATCTGAACCCCAATTTGTTTGATGCTGCTGTAGCATACACCCCCAATGATGAAACAGAGATTGGGGGAGGGAGATCTCCAAGAGAGGACCAGAGGCTGGGTGCTGCCCGCCAAGGCCAGGGAGGATGGGTTGGGCTAGAAGGCAAATGATGGAAGCTAATGTGGTAAGCTGAGTTAGGGCTCTGGCCTTCTTCCTAACCTTTCTGTTTCCATGCAAAGCATGCCCAAATCTATATGCAAACCAAACCCTGGGACAGTGATAGCCATTGGATAGGATTCCGTTGGGGGGTGGTGCCCAAAGAGAATGCACCTATTTCACCTTCACTGCCCCAAGTTTCCTTCCTTATTTTGCTGCCCAGCCTTCTATCAGTTTTCTAGTTCGAGACTTTTGTGGTGTTGCCTTCCCCTCTTTTCTGACTGATAAATATTCCAATTCTCTACTGGTAGAAATTTGTTAGAGTTACAACAAGCTGGAATGAGAGAGAGGGTTGTGTGCCAAGGACATCGAGCCTTATCCATTCCCAGAGTCACAGTGTTCTCCAGGCAAATCCTTAAATCATTCTATGAGCAATGAATTTTCATTTGTCAAGCATGGTCTTTGAGTGACTAGAGGACCATTTCTAATGTTTGCTACTGAGTAGACTAGGTGTACAATTTGTTCCTCTTTCTTGTACTGGCCACCTCTGGTTCAGCCCTCCCCTATTTCCCCCATCCCGAAGTTACATGACAACCTGAGGGAGAGAGATGACATTTATTGATACCTATCAAATGCTGGGCAGCCACTGTGCTACTCACTTCTCTCATTGCATCCTCGCAACTCTGCAAGGTAGGTCCCATTTTACAGATGAGGAAACTGGAGCTCAGAGAAGTCAACCAATTTGCCCAAGGTTACATTAGGAGTCAAGTGAGGGACCAATATTCAAACCCAGGTTCATCTGTCTCCAAATCCCATGTTCTTTCCACTCTACCATGATCACTCCTTGAAAGACAGGCATACTCCGTTTTCACTCTCCACCTGTTACCCTCTGGCAACTTACTAACCTAGGGCACTTGGATCCTGTAGGTGGATGAGGAAGTTATGGCTAAAAGCGAGCACTTTGCTGCAATGGGGTTGGTTTCATAGCTGTAGAGAAAAAGAATCATACCTGTACATAGAAAGTTGGGTGTACATTTAGGTTAAATGGAAAAGAAGACAAGCAGGGATGGTTCACAGGAAGAAAAATGGAAGTGTTCCTGTGTGACATCTCTGGAAGGATATTTTCTGTCTTTCAGAGATGTAATGTCTGTTCAGGCATTGTTATAACAAAATTATGAAATAACAATGCCCATTTTAGATAATCTCTGGGAGTTGGAGATTTGTAAGAAGTTTCTAGGTGTTTACAGAGGGTTTTTGCTTTTTTTCCCTGTTGTTGCCCCTTTCTTACCTTGAAGCAGAAGATTGAGAACAAGGAAGAAGGGGAATCTCTCTTTCTGGAACCAGCTTCCTTCCATCTTCTTTGTCTAAATTCGTCTCCGGGAGTGTACCAGCACCCAGGAATCCCTAGGAAAAAGGATCAGAGGCCACACCTAGAGTCTAATTTTGAATGCTGATAGCATTGGTTGACCACTGACATTTGTTACCTTCCTGGAAAGAGAGTTCTGGTTGTCTTGTTCTTGCCCATGCCGGAGGTTCCGTTTGCTGTTAAGACTTCCCCTCTTCTGTATTTCACTATAATGTTGAGTATGGTTGTATATTAGCTGATATGTATCACACTCAGACCTTTGTGTGATCTCTCAATCTGAAGACTCATCTCTTCAATTCTGGAAAATTCTCAGCCCTTTAAAAAATAGTATATTCTCTCTACTTTTTCTCTTATTAGATATATGTTGCATCATTTCCCTTTACCTTACATGCCTTTAACCTCTCACATTTGTTTCCACTGCTGTTGTAACAAATCATAAACTTAGTTGGCTTTAAAAAACACAGATTTATTATTTTGCAGTTCTGTAGGCCAGAAGTCTGAAATGAGTCTCACTGAGATTTTGCCAGGGCTGCATTCCTTCTGGAGACTCTAGGAACAAATTCATTTCCTTATCTTTTCCAGTTTTTAGAGGCTGCTTGCGTTCCTTGGTTCATGGTCCCATTTTTCCATCTTTTTTTTTTAAAGATTTTATTTATTTATTTGATAGAGAGAGATCACAAGTAGGCAAAGAGGCAGGGAGAGAGAGTGAGAGGGAAGCAAGCTCCCTGATGAGCAGAGAGCCCGACATGGGACTCGATCCCAGGACCCTGGAATCATGACCTGAGCCGAAGGCAGCGGCTTAACACGCTGAGCCACCCAGGCACCCCCATTTTTCCATCTTTAAAGCCATTAACATTAAAAAGTCTTTTTACACTGCCATCGCTCTTCTTCCCATGCTCTTCTCTCTCCTTTTTCACTTTTAAGAACCCCTATGATTACAATAGCCTGACCTGAATAATCCAGGATTCTCTCCCTTTATCAAGGTCAGCCAATTACCCAATTTAATTCCACCTGCAACCTTAATTCACCCTTTTCCATTTGACATATTCATAGGTTCCAGACATTAGGATGTGGACATCCTTTGGGGACCATTATTCTGCCTAACATACCCTTCTTTCATATTTTCTATCCATTTGTCTATGTCCCTAGTAATTCTTTCAGATCTACTTTCCAGGTAAATTTTCTTCTCAATTATATTTAAACTATTGCCTAATCTGTCCACTGAGTTTTCAATTTCAGTGATTATATTTTTTGTTTCTGTAAGTTCTATTTGGTTCTTTTAAGAAACCGATCTTTTTTTTTTTTAAGATTTTATTTATTTACTTGACAGAGAGAGAGATCACAAGTAGGCAGAGAGGCAGGCAGAGAGAGAGGGAGAAGCAGGCTCCCTGCTGAACAGAGAGCCCGACGCAGGGCTTGATCCCAGGACCCTGAGATCATGAGGGCAGAGGCTCAACCCACTGAGCCACTGAGCCACCTAGGCACCCCCAAACCAATCTTTTTGGTTCTTATCTTTCTTCCTTCTTCCTTCCCTCCCTCCATTCTTTCCTTCTTTTCTTCCTTCCTTTCTTCCTCCCTTCCTCCCTCCCTCCCTCCTTCCCTCCCTTCCTTCCTCCCCCCCCCTTTCTTTCTTTGTTTCTTGTACTGTTCTTTCATTTTGGTTTCTAATATTTCTTTAATCTTTTATTATTTGGAACTGTTAAAGCAAAACCAAAATGGAGACCACAGTTTAAATATATTCCTAGACCAAACACTCACAATAATGCAACCAAAACTTAAAACTATCATGATTTCCCTAAATTCTTACTCTGACCTAAACAAAAGTCAAGATTTCTTCATGTCAACATGACCTTAAAGCTTCCTAGCCATGGGGCATCTGGCTGGCTCAGTTGGTGGAGTATGCCCCAACTCTCAATCTTAGAGTGGTGAGTTTAAGCCCCACACTGGTCGTAGAGCTTACTTAAGGGGGGAAAAAAAAAAAACCCAAACCCAAAAAACCTTCCTAGCTAATCAGCTACAGAGTAAGCCTGTGGTGAAAAAGAGTGTAAGGTTCTAGTAACCAATCACAGTAGAAAATGCACTTCCGCATTTCATGCTTTATAAACTGAGCTGTAACTGCTGAGATTTGAGTTTCTTAACTACTTTGGTTTAGAAGTCTCCCTATTCTCCAACAGTTTGTTCCTTGCTCAATAAAATATCCATATTAAGTAGAACTTTCTGAATTTTCTTTAGGTAGAGCGTATTTGTTTTACATTTCCTTTCTGATTGTTTTATTATATCTAGTTCTTGGTATGCTAACTATTTTGCTAGCTTTGTCTTATGTGGTTTGTTTCCTCATGATTTGTGACTCTTGACTGTACATTCATCTTCAGTAGGAGCTTATTTCAGTGGGAGTTTCATGTGCTTGGGTTATGAAGTTTCCCTACAAAGAAAATTGTCATTTGCCTCTGACATAGCCTTTGGATTTTTACCAGGTCCAGTCATTTCTTGTGTGTATATGTGTGTGTTAAGAATATCCCACATCATATGAGTAGTGCAAATTTAGACTCCATACTGATATGTGACACAGGCTTAGTGTTTCAATTCCTTGCATATGACCTTTCCTCTGTACCGCTGGCCTCAAGTCTTTGGCCACCTTTTTTAGTCTGAGATGGAGGAGGAAACTGACATTGATACATGTCAGTCTGCAGTCTACTTGCTAATGATGTCAGAAGATAAGCGATGAAAACCTCATTTGGAAAAAAAAAAGGTGAGAATCTGTATCTTTAGGTAATTTTGAGGTCATTTATCATAAACTAACTTTCTTTCTTTCTTTCTCTCTCTCTCTCTCTTTCTTTCTTTCCTTCCTTCTTTCTTTCTTTCTTTTACCAGAGAGTGAGATAGAGAGAGAGTGCACAAGAAGGGGGAGCGTCAGGCAGAAGGAGAAGTAGGCTCCCCGCTGAGCAAGAGCCTGACGTGGGACTCGATCCCAGCATCCTGGGATCATGATCTGAACCAAAAGCAGACACTTAACCGACTGAGCCACTCTGGCGTCCCCATTTATTATAAACTTTAAACCAAGGTGGATTTTTTCCCCCTATGTAGCTTTGATCAGTGGTCATCCGAACATGTGAGTTTTTTTAAATTTAAATTCAATTAGTCAGCCTATAGTACATCATTAGTTTTTGGTGTAATGTTCAATGATTCATTAGTTGCGAATAACATATTAACATTTCCAGTGACACCATCCCATTATTTCTTGTGCTATCCTATTTTATGTTTGAACAAAACCTCTGGTTACTGGAAAGTTTTTTAAAAGTCCAAATTTGCATTCTTGTAGCTTTCACCACTGGTGTAATTTCAGCCCAGTAGAGAATAAAGAATAAGTTATTTCTTTTAAAAAAAATTTTCTTTATTTTTAATTAACATATAATGTATTATTTGCCCTAGGGGTACAGGTCTGTGAATTGTCAGGGTTCCACACTTCACAGCACTCACCGTGGCACATATCCTCCCCAATGTCCAAAACCCAGCTACCCTCTCCATACACCCCCTCTCCCCAACAACCCTCAGTTTGTTTTGTGAGATTAAGAGTCTCTTATGGTTTGTCTCCCTCAGATCCCATCTTGTTTCATTTTTTCCTTCCCTACCCCCCAAAGTCCCCACGTTGCCTCTCAAGTTCTTCATATCAGGGAGATCATATGATAATTGTCTTTCTCTGATTGACTTATTTTGCTCAGCATAACACCCTCTAGTTCCATCCATGTTGCTGCAAAAGGCAAGATTTCATTTCTTTTGATGGCTGCATAGTAGAATAAGTTATTTCTATCTTCTGATAGAATTTTGAAATATTTTTAAACTTTGAAATATTTCAAGACAATTATCATGTGTAATGGGGTAATGTTTAAAAATACGAAGCCTATGAAATTTTCAGTCCTCACTGTATCCTTCCGACACACATTCGTCTTACCTCCTTGCAGCTCCAGAAATCAGTTTCCTCTGTAACCCTTCTGCTATTATAGACGTGGGGGAGGGAAAATGTTTCTCCTGTAAGAATATGACTTATGGAAAATCTCTGCTGCAGTAGAAGGGGATGAAATCCTTCTTCTTCTGGTATGATAGAATATGGGACAAAGGAGAGAAGGGAGTAAGTGATAACATTCACATGTGACATCACACACACACACACACACACACACAGACATTGATTTTCTGCTGAAATCTGTGTGTGTGCATGCATATGTGCATGGTTGGGAGGGGGCTAAGTAGGTTGAGAGAAATGGAAAAAAAAAAAGTGCCAAAAAAGCAGAGGAGGCTTATGCCCCATCACTCATTTGGGATCCAGGAAAGAAACTGCTATTCCCTGTAGCCCCAGACTGGTATGTGGAAGCTGTAGAGTACAGAGTGGTTAGGCAGAGAGAGGGCCTGGGTTAGCACTCCTGCCTCTCTTCTGGTCCCTGTGAAATATGGAGGGAACCAGAAATTCCTAAGACAGATGAAACACCTCTGCTTTGGGGTGGACTGTCAAGGCCAGATGGAGGCCCTGTGTGCAGCTCAGAGGGGTCTACAGCCGCAGCGATTGTGGAGGTGGAACCAAGCCAGTGAAGGAAAACTCTATCAGAGCCAAGACACTAACAAAGAACTTGCCAGTGACAGACTATAAGCAGCAGGTGCCATCAGAGCACCCAGCAACCAAGAGACAAGGGATGTCACCATGGAGACAAGAGAGGACTCACAGTACCCACACAGGCTGATTGGAGACCCCTTTTCTCCCACTGCCATGAGGTCACAAAAGCCCCCGAGTCTACTACTTTGAGAATCTAATGAAAGCTAAAAGACCTTTTGTCCAGCCAGAAAAATGTTCACATGCACTAAATTTTGCATACAATTTCAGGGTTCATAAGCTTTAACTTAAGACCCTTTTCTCAGAATCAGTTAAAGAAGCATATAAAAGAGAAGAGGGGCTTACTTTGGTATACTTATTGGTTTTAGTGAAATAGTGATCACTATATTGTGCTCTGTAAGTCATCTGTTTAGGATTCCATTTAAGAGTTCTGCTGAAGATTGTGGTCAAACTTTACTGACCTAATGTTTTTGGAATTTACCTCTCCCCCCCAAATTTTAGAGATAAGGAAAATATTTGTGCATTCATCAGATACTCCTTTCCTCCGTGATCCGTGACTATTACTAACTCTGGTTCTGAAATTACATCTGCAGACTCTTTTGTTAACCTTTGATGAAAATCATTCAGGCTTAGAGATGTAAAATCTCTTGAATTAGTTGGGTGTCTTTTTCCTCTTTCCTTATATTTGTTGGTATTCAATTCTTTTGGTCATTTTTGCTTATCTCCACTCAGCTTAATTATTCTGCCTAATGGAAAAGACAAAAATCTCTTACCCTTCCAACAGACACGTGAAAAAGTGCTCCACATCACTCGGCATCAGGGAAATACAAATCAAAACCACAATGAGATACCACCTCACACCAGTCAGAATGGCTAAAATTAACGAGTCAGGAAATGACAGATGCTGGAGAGGATGCAGAAAAGGGGAACCCTCCTACACTGTTGGTGGGAATGCAAGCTGGTGCAGCCACTCTGGAAAACAGCATGGAGGTTCCTCAAAAAGTTGAAAACAGGGGCGCCTGGGTGGCTCAGTGGGTTAAAGCCTCTGCCTTCGGCTCAGGTCATGATCTCAGGGTCCTGGGATCGAGCCCCACATCGGGCTCTCTGCTCGGCAGGGAGCCTGCTTCCTCCTTTCTCTCTGCCTGCCTCTCTGCCTACTTGTGATCTCTGTCAAATAAATAAATAAAATCTTTAAAAAAAAAAAAAAGTTGAAAACAGAGCTACCCTATGACCCAGCAATTGCACTACTGGGTATTTACCCTAAAGACACAAATGTAGTGATCCGAAGGGGCACGTGCACCCGAATGTTTATAGCAGCACTGTCCACAATAGCCAAACAATGGAAAGAACCTAGATGTCCATCAACAGATGAATGGATAAAGAAGAGGTGGTATATATATATGTATATATATAATGCAGTCATCAAAAGAAATGAAACCTTGCCATTTGCAATGATGTGGATGGAACTAAAGGGTTTTACGCTGAGTGAAATAAGTCAATCAGAGAAAGACAATTATCTTATGATCTCCCTGATATGAGGAATTTGAGAGGTAGGTGGGGGGGGTTGGGGGAAGGGAAGGAAAAAATGAAACGAGATGGGATCCGGAGGGAGACAAACCATAAGAGACTCTTAATCTCACAAAACAAACTGAGGGTTACTGGGGGGAGGGGGCGTATGGAGACGGTGGTTGGGTTATGGACATTGGGGAGGGTATGTGCTATGGTGAGTGCTGTGAAGTGTGTAAACCTGGTGATTCACAGACCTGTACCCCTGGGGCAAATGATACATTATATGTTAATAAAAAGAATTAATAAAATAAAATAAAATCTCTTCCCCAAGGATGACTCTTGCTCATGTATGTATTCTATTCTGAATATATCAAGACATTATGGCGGGAAGAGTATCAACCTTGGAATCAGAAAACATAGATTCAAATCCTGGCTCCATTACATACTAACTATTTAATTCTGGGGAAAGCTCTTAAATTCTGAGTATTTGATCTCATCTCCAAATGGGTATAATAATACCCCCTTTATAGGTTTTTGGATTGTGATTAAAGAGATGGCGTTTGAAAAGTTAGTTCAGTGCTAGGCATTTCATAGGCACTGAGTAAATATTCTCCTTCCTCATTTCAGCATTATTCTCAAGCACTCACTTATTCTGGCCATTAACCTCCCTTTACTTTTCTTACAAGTTCATGCTACCCTTTTGTTTTTATTCTTGTTTCTGAGTCCCTTCTTCTCTTGTTTATGTAAATCCACCAGAGTATTTTCTCTGTACTGGGGGCACAGTGCACAGAATCCAAGAGATTCCTACTAGCCTATTAAATGGTTGAGATTTTGGGTGTGCCTGGGTGGCTCAGTCAGTTAATTTCTCAGTCAGAACTCAGTCTGCCTTCAGCCCAGGTCATGATTCCCAGGTCCTTGGGATCCAGCCCCAGGTTAGGCTCCCTGCTCAGTGGGGAGTCTGCTTCTCCCTCTGCCTCTCCCCACCTCCAGCTTGTGCTTTCTCTCTCTCTCTCTCACATAAATAAACAAAATATTTTTTAAGATAAAATAAATGGTTGAGATTTGGGAAAAAGTTATTGGCTCCAAATATAAAAAGAAAATTGAAAAATCAAAATTAATAAATATTTAATTAAATGTCAAATAACCTGGACATCATCAGGTAGCCTATTCAACTCTTACATTGTTATAAATAGCCCCACAAATCTTTATCCACAATTCTGGAATCCAGAAAGTTCTGATAATAAAAATATTTTTGGTCAGTTTAGGGTGAACTGATTTGGCAGCACAACTAACCTGAACAAACATGTAGCTGTTTATGATCTGTATTTATTCCTCTTAGTGTGACTATTCATACATTTTTTTTCTGCAGAAATAGAACTGTGTTTGATTATGAATACTGTCCCAAGCCCCCGTGGAAGCATTATGTAGTATGTGGTATATGCAATCTATTATTTTAAATCTGAAAAGTTCTGAATTCTGACAGCATATCTACCCAAGGGAATTAGATCAAGAGGTTCATTCTTGAGTAAATAATATGTGAGATAGGAGTAAGTTTTCATATGTTTACTATAAAGTGTGTGTGTGTGTATGTGTGTGTGTGTGATTCCAACATTAAGTGAGATGCTGTAAGTCTCTCTCAGTGGGTGGGAGGGAGAGCAAGAGAGTGAGTAGGAGCATGTGCAAGGATGGACAGTACCCTTAAGAAAACCACACTTAAAAAAAAAGATTTTATTTATTTATCTGAGAGAGAGAGAGCGAGAGAGACCATGAGTGAAGGTGGGTGGGTGGCTCCCTCAGCAGGGAGGCAGTCATGCAGGTTGGATCTCGGGACACTGAGATCATGACCTGAGCTGAAGGCAGCCCCTTAACCGACTGAGCCACACAGGTGCCCCCAGAATATTCTTTTTTTTTTTCCAGAATATTCTTAATAATAATACCTACCGCTTTAGGTTATCATGATGATTAAATAAGATAAGCTTATGAAGCATTTAGCACAATCCCTGGCACAAGGTAAGCAGTAAATTATGATTAGCTGTAGAAAGAAGTTTGTGCTTCAGTGGAAAACTACATTACCTATAGCACACCCTTCAGGGCTCTCTGATTCTAGCCATGCTTCTTGTCTTTCAGTGATTTTGCGACTCTTGAAAGTTGTTAAGTAGCTGATAGATAGGTGAACTTTGTCCTGTTAGAGATGCAATTAACTTCCTCCCTGTGGAAAAATCAATTTTGTCTCTATTTTTAATTCATCTCAACATTCCTTTATTCCATATAAATATGTGTTCTTTTGACTTTTCCTTTGAACTAGTTATTACATCTGCTTCGTTCCCTCGTATCATATGAGGAAAATCAAAATCTTAACACATATTCATTTTTATAACTGTGAGATTCATGATTTTGTATATTTCTGAAATTATCTTTTAACAGTTTTGGAAGTTCCACCAAGATGCCCGATGGATTCACCTGACAGAACCAGGTAACATTCATCAATCTCACCGGTGGTGTAAACCTGCGCACATCTTTTTTTGGCTTCCAGAGGTGAATGCAAAGAGGCAGTAAGACTTTGGTGACTCTCTGTTTTTCCAAATTTTAATTTTGTTTTCTACTCATTTTGTTTTCAATTTGTTTTATCTGATAAATTATTCCTTACTGGAAATTTGGCTTAATGATCTGACAATTTGATGATTTCTGTAGATGGGTTAATGGGGAGGAGACATCCTGTTGGATGAAAAGTGTCAGACTGGTTTACTTATCTTTTCTGTTTATATATTTGTTTATTTTGAGTTCTGATCAATTTTCAATGAATTTATATCCACTGTGGACAGAACAAGTCTTTTATATGGACCATGGATTTTTGTAATTTTGTGTCTACTCAACCTATGGCTGAGATTTTAAAATACAAGCTCAAAGTTCTATTTGCGCTTATTTGTCTGTCATTATGTCTATAGTTCAGAAAGGTTTTTACCTCTCATTGTATGAAAGTGAAATATTTTCTATCTCCAGATGACATTACTAAATTTGATTATAAGGCCTCTGTAAGAATCTCTGTTCTGATTGGCTTGTAGAAATAAGAACAGATATAAACCGAATATTCCTCATTTCAGAAAATAAGGAAGTATGTCAGCTTGAAGATGATTGGTAAGGGGCTTAGGTAACGTAAAGCTTTGGACTGACACTAAATTGAGTTAATGGATATTTATTGGATGTTCAGACCATTTCTAATCTGAAACACTCATTGCTAAACATCATTTTAAGTGTATATATTTTTGCTTCTTGGTTTTTGTTTTGTAATGACAGCTGACATGTATTGAGTGCATAGTTCTATAACATTTATGAGAATTATTTCATTCAATCCTCAAAATAACCTTCTGAAACTGGAACTATTAGTCTTCTACTTTTTAACTTGCCCAAGGTCACCTAGTTAGTAAGAAGCAGAGTTGGAAGGTGAACCCTGACTCTAGAGAATGTGATCTTAAACATAAAGCTGAATTTTCTTTGTTTGGGCAGTCCTACCACTGGCTAGGCTCTTGGAACCCCTTTGTAAGTTTCTCCCCTCTTTTGTTAAGGTAGGTCATATATTTGTTTTTGTTTGTTTGTTTGTTTTTATTGAGGAATAACTGACACATGACACTGTATTAGTTTCAGGTATACAAAATAATGATTTGCTATTTGATATACTGCAAAATGATCACCACCATAAGTCTAGTTAACATGTTACCATACACAGTTACAAATTTTTTTCTTGTGATGAGAACTTTAAAGATCTATCCTCCGAGCAACTTTCAAATATGCAGTATAGCATTACTAACTGTAGTGACCATGCTGTACATTACATCCCCATGACTTACTTATTTTATAACTGGAAGTTTTTGCCTTTTAACCACCTTCACCCATTTCACACTCCCTTGCTTCTTATTTTATATGCTATGAAGGCAATATAAGCATGTTCATTTTTTCCACTTCGGGAAGTTACAAAGTCAATGATGCGTATGGCTATAGAATGCTGGGTTATGAGCTGTGCTAATCTGATAAAATGCTGAGGTGGGACATTGCAGAGTCATGCCCTCCCATTCTCACAGTGTGAGAAAGAAATAAGAAGCAGCCTCTGATGTCCAGAAGTGATCTAACACTCACAGGCCATCTGTTCATTTTAAACCATCTTACGGAATACCAACCTCAGACATGATTATCCTGAGACCAAGATAGAACAGACAAAACAAGGCTGCTTCATAATTTTGTCTGCTCACATACAAGATACCTATATAAAACCACAAAATACCAAATATCCCCTCTCTTGCTAAACGAATGGCTATTATTTCTTATGCAATCATTCCTTTGATTTCTGACAGTATTCAATTTTGAACAGATCCTTGCTTCTTTATACTCTCCCCAAACCACCCAAGGGAAGACCAAATCCTGTAACAGTTTCTTTGTAATTATGTTTCATTGAGAGAATCCCATGGTTACCTAAGATTTTTGTTCTTCCTTGTTGCAATGAGTAGTAAAGCTGGCTTGTTTAACTGCCTGTATGTTTCTGCTGGTCTTTGGCAGAAGGGTCTTCACAAATGGAGTGGTCATTTCCCCCACATTCTTGGCACTGCCATATCCTCAACTACTATTTTCTTCTTTGTTGGTCTAGAGAAAGTCCAAACAATTGAGCATCAAAACAAATATTGATAATAGTGGATTTAACTCTTTGAAAGACATAAGGACCCATGAATATGTTCTGATATAAATGAGTAAAATAAAAGGGAAAAGTCTACTTTACATTAGAGTGCCAATGAATAAGCATTAAAGAATTGATGGAACTAGAAAAGAATGATTTTGTAAAGATCCTTAAATATGTAATTCATACAAGAATCATTCTGATGAGGAACGGGATAATTACACAGTCTCAAAGCATCTTTCTGCAGAACGCTTATTAGTTACCTATTAATTAATAAGCATGCCACACTTGCTCATTATCTTTAACTACTAATTAACTACTAATTTAATTAACTACTAATCAACTAATTCATTTAACTACTAGTTAACATTTATATCATCAGTAAAGGGACAAATTGGCATTGTGCACTTCCTTGACATGCAGAGAAGAACCCAGCATCACTTCTGGGGTATTTCTGCAAAAAATGCTTAAATTATAAGTAAATGTTAGACAAATACACGTTGAGGGACAATCCTCAAAAAATAATTGGCAGTACTCTTCACAAATGTCAAGATCACAGAAGACAAGGAGATTGAGAAACTGATCCAGATTGAAGGAGACTGAAGCTAAATGCAGTGTATTTCTGGGCTTAATCCTGCACCTATAAAAGACATTATTGGGACAAAGGCAAAATTTGAATAGGGCTTATAGATTAGATGGTAATCTTGGATTGATGTTAATTTTCTGATGTTGATGGTTGTACTGTGATTGTATAGTAGAGTGTCCTCGTTTTTAGGAAATATGCACTGAAATATTCAGGGTTAATGTGTCATTAATTCTGCAACTGTTTCTCAGTGATTTAGAAAGTATACACAACTGAGGAATCCCAGTGAAGTGTACACAGGAGCTCTTTAATTTTAATTTAATTTAATTTTAAATTAAATTAAATTAAATTTAATTTAATTTTAAATTAAATTAAATTTAATTTAATTTAACCACATTTTTAATTTGAGGTTTTATTTATTTATATGTTAATAATAAAAATAATAAATAATTTAAAATATTATTATTTGAGGTATTATTTTTATTTGAATTTAACCTCATTTTTTTTAAGAGGAAGAAAGGGAGAAAAAGCAAAAATAAGTCTAAAGTTTCTGCATGTGTCCTCTTTCCTTTAAGCCAGAACTGAGTCATGGGGTATTGGCCTCCAGGAGAGGGCAGCAGATCTCTTGGTTAAGTGGTTGGAGACTTTGGTCACAATTTCAGTTATTATTTCTTTTTAATACTAGCAGCTGGTCACATTTTTACTTGTTAAATTTGTATCTAGCCTCTTCTGGGCTTCAACTGGGTATTCATATCACTGATCTATGTAGTTTAATTAATATACAGGTGTTTAGGATTTACTTGAGACTTACTGAATCTCTTGACATTCTTGATATGTTCTTGGTGTATTCTTACAAAAATCTTGGTATATATATGATATATAAAGTCAGGATTATTATATGTTATGTCTCAATATTTTTTCTTTTTTCTTTTTAAAGATTTTATTTATTTGACACAGAGAGAGAGAGAGAGAGAGAGCACACAAGGAGGGGGAGTGGCAGGTAGAGAGAAACAGGCTGCCAGCTGAGCTGGGAATCCTGATACAGGACTCGATCCCAGGACCCCAGGATCATGACCTGAGCCAAAGACAGACACTTAATCTATTGAGTCACGCAGATGCCCTTAGATTGACTTTATTATTTTGTTTTGCCTGCCAGAGAAACAACCCAATTTCCTTATCATTTTGCGTAATTCTTGTAATGAATCCTGCGCTTTCATTTTTATCTGAGCTTTCATTTTTTAAAGTTCAAAATTATCTGCGCTTTCATTTTTTAAAGTTATCAGTAATAAGCTAGTAGACTAACTACAACCATTTAAAATTTTTTGTCATATACAGGGGAGCCTGCGTGGCTAAGTTGGTTAAGTGTACAACTCTTTTTTTTTTTTTTTAAAGATTTTATTTATTTGACAGAGAGAGAGAGAGAGAGATCACAAGTAGGTAGAGAGGCAGTCAGAGAGAGAGGGGGAAGCAGGCTCTCTGCTGAGCAGAGAGTCCGATGTGGGGCTCAATCCCAGGACCCTGAGATCATGACCTGAGCCGAAGGCAGAGGCTTAACCCACTAAGCCACCCAGGCGCCCCAAGTGTACAACTCTTGATCTCAGCTCAGGTCTTCACCTCAGGGTCAAGAGTTTGAGCTCCATGTTGGGCTCCGCGCTGGGTGTGGAGCCTACTTTTAAAAAAATGGCTAAGATGGTAGATTTGGGGCACCTGGGTGGCTCAGTTGGTTAGTTTCTGACTCTTGATTTCAGCTTAGGTCATGATCTCAAGGTGGGATCAAGCCCTGTGGCAGGCCCTGTGCTGGACGTGGAGCCTGCTTAAGATTCTCTCTCTCTCCCTCTCTAAAAAAATTTTTGCTTGTCATATACAGATAGTTTTTTTATTTTATGCTTCCCTGAAAGCTTTTCAATCAACTATAAGCCAGAATACTTCATTTTCCACGAAGGAATGTTCCAGAATTCTGTGGAAAAGGACTATACCACATGCTTTGGGGTACAGGTTTCTGATGACATTGCTTAAACAATTTTGAGACCATACTGGTGGACTGAGCCAGGATTTCTAGAACTGTAGAGAAGCCAATGGGTTCATAAGACTGCTAGCCCAAGATCCACTGAAACAAGAATTAATTATATAGGACTAATGAATTGATGAAGGGTGATTACTGTTTTTGCTTAAACTATTATTTATATTTTCATAATGTCTATTTTCTGGATATTTAAGGAAGCCCCTTTTCTTTCCTCTTAAGCTGTCTATAACTCATAACAATTTAATAATTATAACTCTGCTTTTTTTCATACTCTGCTTTTATACACTGAAATAAAACATTTGTGAATGATAGCTTGTTCTCTTTGCCTGAGCCCTCTAAAATTTAGAAACTTTTATTGAATATTCTTAATTTCATCACAATATAACTATCATAGTTTCATGAAAATATAGTTATTGGCATAGATTCAGGAAGAATATGTCCTTTTTACCAGGACATAATTGGAAACACTGGGTATGCAACCAAGGCCTTGCCTGGAGTGTTATATTTGAGAAAGATGCTCCTTTAATCATATACGGCCAGACATATCTAAGGAACTAGGATGACTTTATGCAGCCAATGCTTACAAACCCTTCCAGGAAAATTGGTTAGTATCTGACTTAGAAGGTTCTCAGCTTCTGGGTGGGTAAGGTCACTTTCTTGTTAGACCCAGGAATCTTAGGATATTTGGGGAACTTCAAGAAGAGACAAATTCACCGAATGGCTACCACAGCTGAATTCTGGTGTTGACTTCTTGGTGCAACTATCTAGCTTCAGAGGCTTTTAAAAGTAAGTTTGAGATTTTTTGAGAAGCCTTTCAGCAAAGCAAGTTTAAGAAGACCTAAGTGGCAAATTATCACTCTTGTTGCACCAATGTAAATAGTGAAGTTAGAGACCAGCTTTATTTGTGACCAAGAATAATCTTCCTTTGTTCCCTGAAACAAATAATACATTATATGTTAATTTAAAAATAAAAATAAAAAAGAATAATCTTTCTTTGAGATTATTTTGGATCAAAGTGAGGAGATTATAGGAAAAAATGTGTACTTCAATGAGAAATTATGCATTGTGTCTCTCTCTGGGCTATTTATGAACTCTTTAAATTGCAGGTAACTGATGAATATTGCCAATGACAAAACCAAACAATTAAGAAGATTGATTTTATTTT